CACAATGGTTGGCACATTAAATTCATAAATTCCACGTGCAACTGATTTCACAAATCAGTTTACAAATGCATGCTTTTAGATATTCTCTTCCGTCAACAGCCAATATATGATGTTCAATCCATTAAGATATAATGCACACCATTAATATCCAATCACGTGTAAAAACCAGATTTAAATCAGATGTTCAATCCATTTTATGCATATAAAATCAGGTTTAACATGCATTCCATATAAATTATCTTTGGCATTCGACGATTGAACATAATTTAGACTTACCAAATGGAATTGAGAAGGCAAAATGATAGTCACCTTCAATGGAAAAGATCACTTTCCAAATTGTCCAAGCAAGATTTGATTCAGGCACTATGGGATAATAGCTAAGCCATTAACAGATCTCCTCAGAGGCAGCAGAATCGGCATTTGTGTTATTGAAGGAAGCAATGAGCTCCACACCAGTTCTAGCACTCCCTGATTGCAGCTAGGCATTTGTAATTGAAACTGATGCTGACCAGACAGGTATAGGGTCAGTACTGATGCAGGATAAGAGACCTTTGGCTTATCTGAGTAAGGCAGTGGGGGTTAGAAATCTGGGGCTATCCATATACAATAAGGAACTCTTAGCATTAGTAACCGCTGTCACAATGGAGGCGATAGTTGGAGGGATATCACTTCATTGTAAAGATTCCTCAAGAACTTTCTTGAACAAAGAATCACCACCCCTCTCCAACAAAGGTGGCTCACCAAGCTGCTAGGTCTCAGTTATGAGATTGTATACAAGAGAGGAGTGGATAATATTGTAGCAGATGCCCTTTCTAGGAGGCATGAAGAGAATGGAGAGTGTGCAGGTCTAACATTTGTAATACCTGCCTGAATGCAGAAGGTTATGAGAAGCTACATTAGTGATAAAGAAGCTGAGGAGAAGATTCAATCACTGTTACTAAACCCTGAGTCTGGAATTGGTTTCACTTATAGCAATGGAATATTGAAACACAAGGTTTAAATTTATGTGGGAGCAGGGGAAAACATAAGGTCCAAACTAATCCAATATTTACATGGCTCACAAACAGGGGTTCACTCAAGAATTTATACAACCTATATAGAGCAAAACAACATTTCTATTGGCCAGGAATGAACCAGGGTGTTAAGAAAGAAGTGCTGCAGTGTGAGGTATGTCAAAGGTGCAAGGGGGAGCATGTACCATATCCTGGGTTGTTGCAGCCTTTGCCAACCTCTACATTCATGGAGTCACATTGGCATGGATTTTATTGTAGGGCTTCCTGTCTCAAGAGGTAAAGATATCATTCTAGTAGGGGTTGATAGATTTACAAAATATGGGCATTTTATTGCCCTCACACACCCCTTAAAGCTCTATCTGTGGCAAGGCTCTTCATGAATAATATATACAAGCTTTGTGGGTTACCCCAGAGCATAGTCTCTGATAGAGACAAATATTCATTAGCAGCTTCTGGCAAAAGCTGATCAACCTGGCACTAAACGTTAATTTAGCTCTGCTTACCACCCTCAAATAGATGGGCA